TTTTTTGAGACGGAGTCTCACTCTGTCACCCAGGCTGGAGCGCAGTGTCATGATCTGGGCTCACTGCACCCTCCACCTCCTAGGTTCAAGCCATTCTTCTGCCTCAGCCCTACCCTCGAGTAGCTGGGATTACAGGTGCCCACCATTACACCCAGCTAATTTTGTATTTTTAGTAGATATGGGACCAGTTGTGGCCTTTTAAAAACAAATTACAGCCAGACATGGTGGCTCACACCTGTAATCCCAGCACTTTGGGAGGCCGAGGTGGGCGGATCATGAGGTCAGGAGTTTGAGACCAGCTTGGCCAACATAGTGAAACCCTGTGTCTACTAAAAATACAAAAATTAGCTGGGTGTGGTGGTAGGTGCCTGTAATCCCAGCTTCTTGGAAGGGTGAGGCAGGAGAATCACTTGAAACTGGAAGGCGGAAGTTGCAGTGATCTGAGATCATGCCACTGCACTCCAACCTGGACAACAAGAGTGAAACTCTGTCTCTAAATAAATAAATAAATAAACAAGAAAATATTACAACTTTAGCGTCATTCTAATCTTTTCTCCCTCTAGAAAAAAGATTAAGACACTCAGACGTAAAACTACCCCTGCTTCCTAATGGTACCCAATCCCGTGCAAGCCCCACTGACTTCAACCTTCCCCCAAATTACTTAATACAAGTTCGAATCCTAGAAGTCCTTTCTAACGCCTTCTTCTTAAGACACCTCTTAGTTCTCCATGGTGGGTGTTCCTTGCTGCAACGAGAAGGAAATCCAGTTTGGTCAACTATTTGGTGTGGTCTTGGTGGTCCTCAGCAAGAGGGCACTGACAATGTATATACAATGTTTATTTACTTTCTTTTCTATAATTTAGGATCATAGTAAACATTCTGATTGATAACCATTTTTTTCTCATTAAACATATCCCATGAACATTTTCTCATTTCAATTATTATTGCTATAAAAGATTTTATGGCTGCATAGAATTCCATCATACATCTGAACCTTATTGTACATTATGCCATGTTGTTGGCCACTTAGTTTTTAAAAATTTTACTCCTATAAATAACACTGAGATGAACATCCTGTACATAAATCTTTGGCTGTATCTCTATTTTCTTAGGATCAAATATCTGCCACTACATGTTAAGTAGACAGCTCCCTACAAATGCCTTTCTAATAATATTTAAATTGGAAGGGACAAGGGCATTCCTTCACAGGGATTAAATTCTTTGATGAAACACCGAATTAGTCCTATTTTACAGGGATTTCTATCATGTGCTACATTTGGAATCAGTTTTTTGGCTCAGTCTTGCTCAGATATGCCAGAGAGATTGATCATAATATGGAGTAGGGATTCAAAAGAAAAGATTCTTTGATTTGGTAAGGTTACAACAAAGGCCTGCTCTTGTCTAGCAAATGTTTCAAGCATTAGCTTTTAATCATGTCACCATTTTCTGCCTGAGAAACAACAAAAAATGTTTTCATACATATATCTTAAATCTAAACAGTTCTATGTCTACCATGAAATCACTATGCATAGCAGATGATATAATACAAAGGGTATTTGGGAGGCTGCAGTTGAGGGTAGCAGTTACTGTAATGTGTTTATTATTTTATACCATCCCAATCTCAATAGTTCTGACATATTGCCAAGTGGTGGGTGTTTCTACTATCCTAAAAGACCTACATAAGATTTCTTGGAGAATGGAAGCACATGCAGAGAAGGTCAAAGTATAACAAGAATTATCCTTTCAAAGTGGGGAAGATCTTTGGCAAACATCAGAGCTCCCTTGAGTGGGGATGTCTCCATGAAGTATCTACTGGGTCTCAGCCATGTTTTGACCAAGAAGCTGTTTTATGCACAGCAACGCTGTACTCTCTGAAATGGTACCCAAAGAGATTTCTAAAGATAGTTTAAACTTGAAATTGAAGAGAGAAAACGTGTGGCAAGCCTTAATTGTTTACTTAAAGAGACACACTGCTGTGTATAGATGATTCCCTGTTCAAAAGTGAGCTAATTGTTATGTCTGGGTCTTTCTGGATGTTCTGCCAACTCAGCAGGCTTTCAATATCATCACGAGTCTTTTGGAAGGATGATTTGTGAAGATGTAAGGCAAAAAAATCATGCAAAATTATTTTTCTGAATAGGCACAGGACTCAGGGCCAAATGAGAGATATTTCATGTTCTGATTCAGTGGAAAACACTTTGGCACACACTCTCTGGATGTCTGTGCTCACAATGCCACTGGTAAGTT